CCCCAAAACCCCAAAACCCCAAAACCCCGGCTTTGATAATTTACTGATAATAGTAGGAGGAAAGGATTCAAATTAATAATAATTAATTCTTATGCTAAATATATCATATCTAGCGAAGATGAATCGTTAGAGAATAAAAGAGATGAGTCTCTTACTGTTCTCAATAGTTTTATTGAAATAAGCCTAATCAGCAAGTACTTGCAGTTCAGGGGAGTACCACGACGGCACTCAATGTTTACCATGCACTCCTGGTAAGATATAATTATTTAAAGTGGTCACAATTAACCAATGATCTTTCTTAGGCTATTATTGCTCTGATGGTATAAATTGAGTTGCTTGCGAGGCTAATTAATTTTCATTTTCTGGGGAATCATCATGCACTTTATGCCCAGCTGGTAAGATCTATTAAAAGTAATAATTTCAGGATATGCTTGTTCTTCTTCAAGCTCGGTTCCAACTATTTGTTTGCCAGGAACTTATTCTCCCTAGGGTTCAACAACATGCCTGTCCTGTTCTGCTGGATACTATTGCCCAAGAAGAGGAGACTCTAATCAAGTTGAATGCGATCATGGATATTACTCTTCATCAGGAGCTAGGTAAAGATTATATCTTAAGATTGTCTAGCTATTGCGAACCTTGCCCCAGAGGCTATATGTGTACTACAAAATCAAAAGAAAAATGTCCAACTGGGTCCTACAACTATGGAAAAAATCCTGGGTGCACTTCATGTTCTGCAGGTATGTTTTGTCACGAATCCTTAAATGAACGAATAACTTGCCCAATCGGTTATTACTCTCTTCTAGAAGCGATGTAATTATATTGTATTTCTAACGATTATAGCGATTGCACTCGTTGTCCGGCAGGTTCAAAATGCCCAACTAAGAATGCATCACCAATCTCATGTGATGATGGTCAATACTCAACTTCAGGGTCAACTACTTGCAATGATTGTCCTAAAGGATTTTCATGTCCCACTAAAATATCATTACCTTAAGCTTGCCCAGCTGGAACATATTCTGATGGTAAATAAACTAGTTGCACTCAATGTCCAGGAGGTTATGAGTGCTCTTTAACAACAGACTCAAATCAGATAAAAGAATGCCAGCCTGGATTTTATGCACTTCCTGGATCAAGTACATGCCTTGCTTGTCCAGCAGGTTATGAATGCATCAATAAGGGATAGAGCCCAACATAATGTCCCCCTGGCTTTTATAGACTTGCCAGTTCTACTAGTGGGTGCATTTAAAGTCCAGCAGGAAAAGCCTTAAAATCTCAAAAATAAGAACCATTAGATTGTCCAAAAGGATACTATTCTAACCCAGGAGATGCATCATGCACTTTGTGCCCAGCAGGAAGTTACTGTCCCGACACAGCTACTAAGGTATCTTGTTCAACTACTGGCACAAACTGTTTGGCTGGATCTACGGCACAGGAGGTATGTCCGAGTAAGTATGGATGCTCATCCATAAGTTCTATACCTATAATTTGTCAAAGTGGTTATTATGCTGATGAATCTACGAAGCAATGTGTTATTTGCCCTGCTGGCTTTGATTGTAGTATTTCATCCACTAAAACGTTAGCTTAAAATGGCTTCTACTCTCCATCTGGATCAATCTAATCGTTTGTTTGCCCAGCTGGCTACAAATGCGTTTTTTCTGATTTAACTGGAGCATTTGAGAAGACACATTGTAGTGATGGCTAGTACTCTGATGAGGGCTCAGGTATTTGCACAGATTGTGAGTAAGGATTTGCTTGTCCAAGCAAAGAAAGTTCCTAGATGAGAATCGATTGCTCGAAGTTTAAAGGACTTTATGGAGAGACTACTAAGCTATAAAAATGTTCTGTCTGTCCCTCTGGCTACTACTGTCCCTACGGCTCATCATTAAAAATTCAATGTGATTCTGGATATTTTTCTCAGTAAGGAGCTGATAAATGTTTCCAATGTCCTCCTGGCTATGAATGCCCTAATAGAGATCAAAATAGTATAGCACCTTGCAAACTTGGAACCTTTTCTACTGGAGCTAAACAACATTGTGATATATGTCCAGCCGGATACTCATGCTCAAGTGAACAGATGTTCAAATGTCCTGCATATTAAACCTCTGAAGCTGGAGATGGATTCTGCAGTTACTTCATTGCACCAGTTAAGAGTGCATCAATAACAAACAATATAGTCACATATTTGTAATGTGATGACGGTCAATTTAAGCTTTTCGGCACTTTGGGCTGTATTGATTGTCCAAAGGGTCATTACTGCCCTAATAAAGGAATTGCCCCAGTAAAGTGTCAGCCAGGGACTTTTTAAGATTAAGAAAAATAAACAGAATGCAAAATTTGTCCTACCCTAGATAATGAGGAAACTAAATAATTCTATAGTTCATTTGGGGAATACTAATGCCATATATGTCCTGCAGGTCATTACTGTACTAATTCCACTTCAATGCCCAAACAGTGCCAACTTGGCTTTTATTCAAAGAAAGGTTCAACTGAATGTACATATTGTAGTGATGGATATGTTTGCAGATTTAAAGAATAGGAAGCTGAGCCTATGTACTCTTTATGTCCTGCTGGCTTTTACTGTAAAGCTGATTTAGCAAATGATGGAAGACTACTGCAAAGAGCATGTCCTGCAGGCTCTTATCAACCATATAGAGGCAAGACATCCTCAGAAGATTGCTTATCCTGTCCAAAGGGTTATTATTGTCCAGCAGGTTCAGAGACACCCAGAAATTGTACTCCTGGATCCTATTGTATCGATTAAACTGAACATAATTAGGTTTATTAGTGCTCAAATGGCAAATATGGAACTGTATTTATGGGTACAAGTGAAAATGTTTGCAATGCGTGCCCAGAAGGATATTTCTGCCCTAAAGGATCTGTTCAGCCAGTAAAGTGTCCAACAGGCTTTTTCTGCTAGGAAAATTAAGAATCTGGAATGGCTAATCCCTGCCCAAGTGGCACATATTCAGGCCCATTCTCATTAACTAGTAGAGATCAATGCCAAACTTGTCCTACTGGCTACTACTGCCCAACTGCATCAACTTTGCCTAAAGCTTGTCCCACTGGAACTTATAATCCAAGCACTGGATAAGGAAGCATTTCTGATTGTCTTAGTTGCCCTGAGAGAAGACCTTGTCCATTTTACGGATTGAGCACTTTTGATCTTGGACTCTATTGTGCTCATGGCCATTATTGTCCAGCAAAAACTAGTTTTCCAAATCAATTCCCTTGCCCTGCAGGAAAGTATTCGGATGATATAAACATCACTAGTTCCTCTCAATGCTTGATTTGCCCAGAGAAATTCGCTTGTTATGAGGGAACTAATACCCTTACAAGACCAAAAGTTCCATGCGCTCCTGGCTATTATTGCCCTTCTGGAACTGAGAAGCCAACATAATATTTAAATTAATTGCTGATATATCCAGAAACTAAAAGAGTATAAGAGCGAGATTGAGAACTTTAACCACGGTCTTTCTACCAAAGGATAAGTAGTGAGTTCCAAATAAATCTCATAAGTGTGTTTTTATGAGACTTATTGAAGTACTCCATGAGATAAAGCGGATACTAGAAAAGTGAGAAAAGATGAAGCCTAATATGTTCTCTGGGTGTTAGCATGAATAACCGAGGCTAAAAGCCTACCATAACTCTTAATTATTATTATTTAAATTAATTTTAATATCCTTGCCCAGAAGGCACATATTCACCCTTTACTGACAACAAGGATATCACTCAATGTATTGTTTGTCCAGCTGGCCATTACTGTCTTACTGGATCAGCCACTCCTTCAGGGTTGTGCTCTTCCGGTAGTTTCTGCCCCTAAGGTTCTAAAAATTCGACATCTCAACCTTGTCCAGGCGGTACTTATCAACCATTTGAAGGAGCTAGATCAATAGGAGAATGCTTAATTTGCCCATTAGGAAGCTACTGTAGTAAAAATTCATCTTCTCCTGTTTAATGTCCCAAGGGCACTATTGGAGATTTCGCTGGACTTGAGTATTCGCTAAATTCCACTTAAGGTTGGGGCTGTTCAATTTGTCCCGCTGGCTACTACTGCCCCATTCTAGGAATGATAGATCCTTTCCCATGCGGAACAGGTAAATATTCTTAACCTGGCGCATTGTCTTGTGATACTTGCAATTTTGATCATTACTGTGCAAACTTGACTACAACTTACGATGAAATGATAGCTAGTAAATGTGACTTTGGCTTTAATTGCACAGAAGGTACCTCTGTTAAACCTTTTAACCCCGATTATTCCTGCAAAGCTGGCTATTATTGTCAAAAATCAGTATAGTATCCATGTCCTCAAGGTACTTATAATCCTGTTATTGGCGCTGCAAATTCATCTTACTGCTTGGAAACTCCTGCTGGATATTATTCAGACAAGGAAGCATCAACTTAGTACAAAACAAATATCTGCCCAGAGGGTTATTTTTGTCCAAAAGGATCAATCTCTGGAAAAGATTACTAATGTCCAGAAGGTAGCTACAGGAACATACAGGGAGCAACCTCAGCATCTGATTGTGGAACATGCCCAACTGGTCATTACTGCCCAACAGAGTCTAGAGAAGTATTTGTGTGTCCTCAAGGCTATTATTGCCCATAAAGTTCTGTTTATGCTATACCATGTCCAGTGGGAACTTTTGGAGCATCAAAAGGGCTTAGAGAGGAATCTGAATGTACACCTTGTTATGCTGGTAGGTATTGTTCCTAAAAAGGACTTAGTGAACCAGATGGACTTTGTGATGCTGGTTACTATTGTATCTCAGGTGCTTACACAGCAACTCCAACTGACAATATAACTGGCAATGTTTGTCCTGCAGGTGGTTATTGTGGTCTAGGATCTAAAAAGCCTTCTTTTTGCGAACCAGGTAAATACAACCCAAGCATAGGAAAGTCTGTAAAATCGGATTGCAAATAATGTGATCCAGGATATTATTGTTCAGGGTCAAGTAGCTCAACTCCAACTGGAAAATGCTAAGCTGGTTATTACTGCCCTAGTGGTTCAAAATTCCCGACTGAATAAATTGCTTTAGAAGGTTATAATACCTCTGCAGGTGCGTCTATTCAGAAAGAGTGTCCTGCAGGAACTTACAATCCTAAATAGGGATAAAGCTCATGCCAAAGTTGTCCAGCCGGTTATTTATGCTCAACTAAAGGCCTTTCTACTCCAACTGATTGTGGCTACGGTAATTATTGCATATAGGGATCGAGTTCAGTCGAGTAGTGTACAAAGGGTACATATAATGATGAATTAAATGCTAAGTCTGTAGCTGACTGCAAAGCATGTCCACCAGGCTAATACTGCTTTTTCCTAGGCTCGAGTAAGCCCACAGGTAATTGCAGTCAAGGCTATTATTGCAAAACAGAAGCAATTTCAGATAGTCCAGCAGATGATCCAAATGGTAAATATGGTATTTGCCCTTAAGGTTATTATTGCCCTAAAGCTACTGGTGCACCAATCCCATGTCCATCTGGAACATATGGAGAATTTAAAGGTCTCAATAATAAGGATTAATGTACAGATTGTCCACTTGGAAAGTATTGCCAGAGTGGAGGGCTGAAGGAAGCAGAGGGAGATTGTGAACCAGGCTATTTCTGCAATGCAACTAGAACTAAACTCTCTAGACCTAATAATACCTTTTGTTTAGAAGGTGAATACTGCGAAAAAGGATTCATAGCTCCTAAAAATTGCCCAGCTGGTACATATCAAAACCAAAATAAGTCGGATGTGTGCCATCCTTGCCCTAAAGGTTACTACTGTCCTGAGAAGACTTCAGATTTCAGAAATTATACATGTCCCAAAGGTTACTATTGTCCTTTATCAACCGGAGATTACAAGGATCACCCTTGTCCCATTGGCTCCTACAATCCTTAAATTAAGAGATCTTCATTAGCTGACTGTATACCTTGCGATCCTGGGAAAGTATGTCTGAATGATACTGCTTAGACAGAACCTAATGTTAGCTGCCCTGCAGGCTAGTATTGTACACTTGGAGCTCCAAATGTTACTGTAGACCCATCTCTAAATATAACATTAAGATATAATAAGTCTGGAGACACATGTAAAGTAGGTTATTACTGCCCTCAAGGGTCTTCATTTTAACTTCCTTGCTCTCCTGGATACTATTGCGGTACAACTGGTCTCTCAACCCCAACTGGACAATGTGATGCTGGCTATTATTGTGTTGGAGGTGCAAGTAAAAAGAATCCAACTATTTTAAGTACTGATAAAGGAGCTATCTGCCCGGCAGGTTATTACTGCCCCTTAGGCTCATCTTCTCCATTGGCTTGCCCTGCTGGTACATTTAACAGTTTGACTTAAAAAGATGCACTATCTGATTGCCTGAATTGTACTTCTAAATTCTATTGTGCTGATGCTGCAACTGTTACTCCAACACTTAAATGCCCTGCAGGTTATTACTGTCCAGGCGGCTCGAGTACCGGAGTTGAAAATATATGTCCAATTGGATCTAAATGCCCACTTGGCTAAGATCAGCCAATTGCTTGCAGTGGAACTACTGAGTATCAAGATGAACAAGGAAAAAGTACATGTAAAACTTGCGTTTCAGGCTACTATTGCAACAATACTCATATCATTAAATGCCAACCCTAAAAAGAATATATCTCTTACTATTGCCCTGGATCAACAAACAGAAACAAGCAATTATGCCCACCAGGTACTTTCACTAACAAAGATGGAGCTGCTTCATTGGCAGACTGTGTACATTGCCCTCCAGGCAAATACTGTCCTAATGATGTATCAACATAGAGAAAAATAATTGACTGTCCAGAAGGTTATTATTGTTTAAGAGGCACTTATACAAATTACACTTTATGTCCTGTAGGCTTTTATTGTCCATTAGGCACAAATGCTCCAATACCTTGCAAGGCTGGAATGTATTGTGATTAATAAGGACTCAGTGCTCCTGTAGGAAATTGTAGTGCAGGATACTACTGCACTTATGAAAGTTTTAATGTTGCTGCAATTTTAGGTGGAAAGAAAATTTGCGTTGATTTCATTTCAGGAACTAACTGCTATAGAGGATCTACTTCTAGTACTTAAAATTTATGCCCAATTGGAGCTTTTTGTCCTGCTGGATCAGACACAGCCACTCTATGCCCAATAGGTACCTACTAAAACAAAACTGGGATGACCTCAGTAAGTGATTGTACTAAATGCGAAAAAGGTTAATCCTGCCCTCATAGAGGAATGACTTCTCCAAGTACAAATTGCTCATCTGGTTATTACTGTCCTGAAGGATCAACTAGTGATTAACCCGTTGGGAATGAATGCTAGCCTGGCTATTATTGTCCTTAAGGAGTTTCTCAATAAATTCAATGTCCAATTGATTCATATCAGCCGTTCAAAATGAAAGCATCATGCCTATAATGTCCCATTTCTTACTATTGTCCAAACACTGGCATGGATGTTCCCATGATCTGCCCTAAAGGATATTTCTGTAATGGTTCACCATCAACTCTTAAAAAATGTCCAGCAGGATAATTCTCTGATATAGAGGGATTGAATTCATCAAGTTAGTGCCAGTTCTGCTTAAACGGCTAATATTGTTCCAACGAAGCATAAGTAACTCCAACTGGAAATTGCCAAGCTGGGTATTACTGCTATGTCAACAACTTAATTCTAATTACTTAATAGAATCCATAATCAACAATTTGTCCAAAAGGTAGTTATTGCCCTAGTGGATCAATATTGCCTATCAAATGTCCTCCAGGCACATATAATGATTAGTAAGGGTCAATAGACATTAATGCCTGCATTAAATGTGAAGCAGGATATATTTGTGACAAGTATGGAATGCAATCTAAAAGTGAATTCAAGAGCTGTCCTGAAGGATATTATTGTTTAGAAGGCGCCAAAGGAATACAAACTCTAGGGGTTAATGTATTTATATGTCCAAAAGGTTATTTCTGCAAAAGTGGTAGCAACGATAAAACTCAATGCCCTATAGGATCATACAACCCAACAGAAGGATAATCTGCATGTCTTGCTTGTTAAGAAGGGTATACTTGTGATTAAACAGGTACCACTGTTCCTGACGATTGCCCTAAAGGAAATTACTGTCCAGTCGGCAGCCTAACCCTAATACCTTCAACTTCAAATAAGAAGATATGTCCTGCTGGAACATTCAACAGTCTAACTAATCTTAAAGCCGAAACTGAGTGCTAAATATGTCCAAAGGGAAGATATTGTGTAGCGGGAGAAACTAATCCAGAAGGTTCTGGACCATGCAATGCAGGATTTTTATGCGATAATGGAGCAAAGAGTGCTAACGATACTTCTAAAAAATGTCCTACTGGCCATTACTGTGAGAAGGGAGCTCTTTATCCAAAATAGTGTCCAGAAGGAACTGAGCAAAAATTAGAAGGGGCAGTGGACATTTCCTATTGCATTCCCTGTCCAGAGGGAAATTACACTGACAAGAAAGGAACAACAAATTGCTCTCGCTGTATGAATGGATTTTATTGTATCAAGGGATCTACAACGCCAAAGCCAACTGATGGAACAATGGGAAGACTATGTGATGCTAATCATTACTGCATAAGTGGTCTCGAGTACAAATGCTCAAGTTTCTCATATTAGAATATCAAAGGTCAATCATCCTGCTAGAGCTGTCCAATTGGATACAATTGTAATGTAAGTTACAACCTCGGCTAGGCTGATCCACCTTTATGTGAAAAGGGGTATTTCTGCAATAAAGGATATCAAGAAATATGCCCTATTGGAACTTATGGAAATTCAGTTGGATTAGAATATGATCATCAATGCACACCTTGTCCAACCGGGTATTACTGTAAAAATGGAAGGTATGATATTAATTAAACTTGTGATGCTGGGTTTTTCTGCAAATCAGGAGCAAAATCTAATAATGATACGAACAACTATTGCCCAGCAGGTTTTTATTGTGAGTAAAGTGCCACTTAAATGCCAATTAAATGTCCAAATGGAACATTTTCATTAGCAGGAGCATCTAGTGTTGATAATTGCACTGAATGCCAAGAGGGTTATTATTGCATGGACGGCAGTGCTGAGAAATTTGATTGTCCTGAGGGCTCCTACTGTCCGCCTGGAACTGGAAATCCAGTGCCTTGTCCTAAAGGAACGTATGGAGGGAAAAAGAATTTGAAAAGAGAGTATGATTGTTCAACATGTCCATCTGGATCTCTATGCAATACAACAGGAATCGAGAACCCTAGTGACTTTCTATGTCCACCAGGATATTATTGCATTAGAGGATCGTTAGAACCAGTAGCTTGTCCCGTAGGATACTATAGAGCCTTTAGAGGAGGTTCATCAATTAACAGCTGTTTAAGATGCGATCCAGGATTTTACTGTGCCAATGAAGCATAAGTTGTTCCTATTGTTTGTCCTAATGGTACTTACTGCCCATCTGGAACATAATCTCCAATTGGTTGTCCAGCTGGATATTACTGCCCTTCAAAATCTTCAACACCAATAAAATGCCCTACTGGATTCTACTGTCCAGGAAGAACAGAATTTTACTTCAAATGTGCAAATGGTACGTATTGCCCCCCTGGCACATCAATTCCTATCACTTGTCCTGGAGGTAAATTTGGATCTGGTGTAGCAAATAACACAAATGAAACAGTCAGTTGTGACACTTGCGGTAGAGGTCAGTATTCTACTTAAGAAATGTCAGGATTATGTATGGATTGTACTCCAGGGTATGTATGTCTTGGAAGTACTAATGTTGAGAGGCCAACAAGTATAGAAGTAAATAATGGTTATATTTGCCCACCAGGCCATTATTGCCCTCTCGCATCTTACAGAGAAGTTGCTTGCCCAATTGCAACTTATAATAAATATGAAGGAAGAGATGATATCACAGATTGCTTACCATGTAAAGCTGGCTACTATAATGATATTATTGGATAATCAGGTTGTAAGTAATGCGGTCCCTCTAGTTCTTCTGCTGAGGGTTCATCTACCTGCTCTTGTATTGGAAAGAACAGAAGATTTGCTAAATCTATTGGCGCTTGTCTATGTGAGTCTGGGTTCAAACCAAAGGATGGTAAATCAGATTCTGATTCTATAGTTGATTGCGAAGCCAACAACAAATAAACTTGCGCTGATGGTCAAGAAATCGATCTAGAAGGATACTGCGTCGATTCAGAAGATAGTATCTGTAAAGCTCAATGTGATGGTTCTAATGTAGTTATTAATTTTAAGTGACAAATTTTAGGGTTCAATTGTAAGTGGCACTGGTCTCTGCTCATGCAGTTCTCTTGTAGTTGCCGATTAAGTCTGTGATGCAACCTGTCGATCTAAATAGCCAACTGCGACATTAGATTCATCAGGAAACGTAGTTATCTATGATCCAAAGACAAATAAAACTTAGACAACAGACCCTTCAACGTAATACTTTAATATCTTAATTTTAATCTTAGAATTAACGGATATGTCGGAGACTTTAAGTGCCAATCAGCTAACTAATCTGACTGTAAAGTTTACTCTGTGGGAAAATCTGACTCTGGCGATTTTACCTATGACTATTCGACTAATTAAGAAGTGTTGTTTGCTGCTGGTCTCAGAACATCCCTTAGAAGACAACTTCAGTCAACCACCTCAGCTAATGTTATAACAAATCCAGTTATGTGTATTAAATAAGGAAATGCTGTTCTATTCTCAGTAAACTCCTACAAACAGCAGTATCCAGTCTACTATAAAGACTCTATTCTGAATACCAATCAAAACTTTGACTATGGTCCTTTCCTAGAGCTCTAGTCATCAATCTAAAGAGGAACAGTGATAAATGCTTTCTCGTATATTTTCAAAGATGCAGGCATCTACGTATTCAAGGATTCAAGTGATTCAAATAAATATACTATCCTTGGTGTTGTTGCATCTGATTAGGAATGCTCAAACAAAGACGCCAATGTTTAAAGTACAACAGCAGCCTCTCTTTCTAGTATTGGCATTGTGTCTCAACCAAAGATAGTAAATCCTCAATGGTCATTTATTATTGGAGTGTTTGTCTTCATCCTTCTATTCTCCTTTGGAATTGTTACTTTCATTATTGTGATGCACAATAGAAATTCAGCTTAGAATATCAAATCTTCAGACAGCAACACAAAGAAGAATAACATCTATTATGAAAAATTGAATCAAATGGAAAAAGAAGATTTGCGAAAGACTAAATGGTACTATTGCCTATGTAAAAAGTTTAATGATCTCGCTAACCAAGCAGCTAAAGTTTAGCCCACTGACTCTTCAGGAGATGTATCGTATGGTGATTTGGAAAAATTACTTGCAGAATTTAAGGAATCAATGGATGTTCTTAAATAGAAGATGAAGGAAGATGGAGAGAAAGCCGAAAGTTAGGAGCCATAATTGGATGAGGAGAAAAATGAAGAAGATGTTCTAATAGATGAATTAAACTAACTAAGAAAATTTGTAAATGACAATAAGGAATGTATAGAGGACTTCTTTGGAATCAAGAGAGACAAAAGAGACGATGAAGAAGAGAACGACGAAAATGATGAGTTAAATGATAGCAGAGATATCAATGACTTGGACAATCCTCATGATGAAATGTCTGATTTACTAAGAGATCAATAAAATTAAGAGCAACAGATGATGAATAAGATGAAGGAAAATATGAATCAGTTGAAAGAGCAACTTATTATTTAGATTAAGGACTAAGGTGAGGACGAAAAACAGAAAATGATAGATGATTACAAATTTAAGATTGATTCCATGAATCTTTCTGAGCAGGAGAAGATTGAACTCCTAGATGAGCTAGAACATAGATTGAATAAGGTTAATGATATCTTACAGTCAGAGGAAGCCAGTCAAGAGAAGAAACTTTAAGATGCACTTGCTAAGAGAAGAAAGAAGAAGGACGAACTTACAAAGGTTATGGTGACATTGAATAATCTCAAACAAGACGATACCAAGTAATTTAATGAGCAGATCGAGAAGATTGCTTAGAAAGAGAAAGAAGAGATGGCTCTTATGGAGAAGGATATTGAGAAGGAGAAAAATCAAGAGGCGAAAGAAATTGAAAAGCAACTTTAAGCTAACAAGAGTGAGAGACTGGCAGAGATGGAACGAAAACTGGAAGAAATGAAGAGAAATAAGGAAAGTAAGGATTGGGACATTGAATTCGGAGATTTGCTTAATGATTATGGAAAGCTTGTCAAAAATGTTGAAATGGAAATGGAGTTTGAAAAAGCTAAACAAATGAAAGATCTAGAAGAAAGAATCAGAAGAAGAAAAGAGATGAAATAAAGAGATGTCTAAGAGTAAAGAAAAGAAAGAGAGTAGAAATTCAATGAGCAGCTTAATGATAAGAGCAAGAATCTTGGAAACTAGATTGAACAAATAAAGCAGCTCCTCAAGCCAGTTGTAAATGAGGATCTAAGAATCCAAGCACTTCTAGACTCTGAAGATATTGTAAGGCCATTAGAAAGGAGCACAGACGTCACTTAAGATTACCGATCTAACTAGTCTTAAGCAGCACCTTTCCAAAAGCAAATTGAGCTTGTAGCTGAGGAGGAGGACTAGAAGATTAACAATTTGCTTGAAGACATGAAGAAACAAGCAGATAGATAAAATAAGGATCACGAACTTTAGAAGCAGACTCTACTTAGGAAAATTGAAGAAGCCACTGACAGCAAAGAGAAACAAAGACTAATGGACTAATTTGAGAAACTTAGAAAGAATATTGACGAGATTTAGAACAGAGAAGCTGAAGAGCAAAACCAAAAGCTCAGAGACGCTCTGCTTAATAGAAAAGCTAGAAAGCAAAAGATTAATTCAAAGGTTAAGGAGGTTCAGTAGGAGAGTGTGCTGAAGTAAGTGGATGAAAGAACTAAAGAGTTACTTGACAAGAACTTATAAAAGGAATCTGTAGAGGATGATGTCAAGAACATGGCTGAAAAACTCAAATCTAAATTCGAGAAAGATGAACTCATTCAAGTCGCTGAAAACTTCCTCGATCAAAAGCACCTAAGAGATTTACAAGAATACATGCTTGCATTATTTGATGAAAGAGCTAAGGCTCTAAGGAAATACATCTTTGATCTTATGACTCAGAAATAAACAGAATTGGAGCTTATCAAGGAAGAATTTTAACCTCAATATGACTTCTTGAAAGATAAGAAAGCCAAGGGTCTTATTACTGACTCATAGTACAGAGATATGATGGCTAAGCTACAAGAAGAAGAAAGTGACAAGAGAATAGATGCTGAGATCTAGATAAAGGAATTAGAGCAGAAAATGGAGGAGGAGTTAATGATCTAAAGTGTCAAGAACAGAGCTGATGTAGAATAAGCATTAAAGGATAAGCAAGCAGATGAGAAGGTGAAGATGATTGACTTCTTGATAGGAGATAACTAGAACAATGAAACCATTAAGCAATATCTTGAGAGAGAGAAGAAAGGCACATTGAGGGAGCTTGTAGACTTCAAAAAGCAGAAGGACCAAGAAAAACAGAAAAAACTGAAGGATATTGAAGAGATGAGAGCTAATCGTGAACAAGAGTTGAGGGAAAAAGAAGAAAGAATGCTAAACTGGGAAGATAAAATGAAACAAGAAGAAGCCAAACATATGCAAGCATTTGAAAAGCAAAAGAATGCCATTATATCAAAGAAACTCAACGAGCAGAAAGCAGAACTCTTAAGAGAAGTGAATAAAGACGAAATAAGCAAATTACTTCAATAGCACAAGAGAGATATTGCTAATCTTGAGACGGCGTTACAGAAGGAATAGGAGAGACAAATGACAAATATGAGGAAAAATGTTGGTGAAAGACTTAAAGATCAGGAGACTGGCAAGATCAAAAGAGAAATCAAAATGGCTCAGTTAATCAAAGATAAGAGTGCCAGATAAAAGGAGATGCTAAATGTAAGCATGGCTAGTTCATAAGTCAAATTTGGCTCAAATAGAGCTGAGACCAAAGAAGAGTAGATGAAGAAAAATATTGAGAAAATTAAATACATGCAACAAACAGTAGACAAGAAAGTTTACTTTGGAGGCAAACTCTTCGTCAAGGATCATTAAGTCAAGAAGATGGAGCTCATCAAGAAATTACTTAAGAAGGATGATTTAAGTTCGATATAATAGAGCCTGCTTGAGCAGCAATCAAACATGATTCAAAGTGTAGCAAGACTCTAGAGTCAGTTCAGTGATGATAGCTTGTTGCAAGACTCAGTATCATCCTACGCTACTGGAAACTTAACATTCAAAGAACTAATTGACCATGTCAATAAAATTGAGGATAACTATCAAGAGATTTCTAAAAATATCTTGAATAGACCATCAATTCACACAAATGAATGAATTTTAGCTTGAGTTCATGAACTCAATACTAAGATATAACTAGAGATTGAGTCTCATTTATTAGCTTGGCCAGCTTTGAGATTCTCTCTATTTAGAAACCCATTATTCAAGAATTTAATTTCAAACTTAAAAACTTCAACCACAAATTAATGAATATAAATTTAATCTTGATTTAATAACTTCATAAACTATCCAATATCAGCATAGTGGGGTTTTGGGGTTTTGGGGTTTTGGGG